GGGTTGAGTCTTTGATTTTACGTTTTCATTGATTTTGTTACATTTACCATTTTAAGTTTTTTTTTATTATTTTTCTTCCCCCTCCACCGAGTCTTTCCTGCCATTAACCCACTTCCTGTCCCAGGGTGACAACACTTGTACTCAAGTATTCTGTAGCTCCATCCACACGGCTCCTCCATAGATACAGTACAGCTGAGTGAGCGTTGTCACCCTAAGACAGGAAGTGTGTTACCGGCAGGATCACCAGGTGAAAATAAAAAGGAATGCAGACGCCACATCTGCGGCCAGGAAGCTGCGACATTTGACCTTTGTGTTCCTGGGGTCAGAGACACGTGAAAGCCATAAAACTTTATAAAACATTTACAACAACATTTTGGTTTTCCCCCCACAGGACATTAGAGTGTAAGCTCCTCTGTACAGAGACTGAAGTGACTGTGGGGGGGGGACATTAGAGTGTAAGCTCCTCTGTACAGAGGTTGATGTGGCTGTGGGGGGAGGGGACATTAGAGGGTAAGCTCCTCTGTACAGAGGTTGATGTGGCTGTGGGGGGAGGGGACATTAGAGGGTAAGCTCCTCTGTACAGAGGTTGATGTGGCTGTGGGGGGAGGGGACATTAGAGGGTAAGCTCCTCTGTACAGAGGTTGATGTGGCTGTGGGGGGAGGGGACATTAGAGGGTAAGCTCCTCTGTACAGAGGTTGATGTGGCTGTGGGGGGAGGGGACATTAGAGGGTAAGCTCCTCTGTACAGAGGTTGATGTGGCTGTGGGGGGAGGGGACATTAGAGGGTAAGCTCCTCTGTACAGAGGTTGATGTGGCTGTGGGGGGAGGGGACATTAGAGGGTAAGCTCCTCTGTACAGAGGTTGATGTGGCTGTGGGGGGAGGGGACATTAGAGGGTAAGCTCCTCTGTACAGAGGTTGATGTGGCTGTGGGGGGAGGGGACATTAGAGGGTAAGCTCCTCTGTACAGAGGTTGATGTGGCTGTGGGGGGAGGGGACATTAGAGGGTAAGCTCCTCTGTACAGAGGTTGATGTGGCTGTGGGGGGAGGGGACATTAGAGGGTAAGCTCCTCTGTACAGAGGTTGATGTGGCTGTGGGGGGAGGGGACATTAGAGGGTAAGCTCCTCTGTACAGAGGTTGATGTGGCTGTGGGGGGAGGGGACATTAGAGGGTAAGCTCCTCTGTACAGAGGTTGATGTGGCTGTGGGGGGAGGGGACATTAGAGGGTAAGCTCCTCTGTACAGAGGTTGATGTGGCTGTGGGGGGAGGGGACATTAGAGGGTAAGCTCCTCTGTACAGAGGTTGATGTGGCTGTGGGGGGAGGGGACATTAGAGGGTAAGCTCCTCTGTACAGAGGTTGATGTGGCTGTGGGGGGAGGGGACATTAGAGGGTAAGCTCCTCTGTACAGAGGTTGATGTGGCTGTGGGGGGAGGGGACATTAGAGGGTAAGCTCCTCTGTACAGAGGTTGATGTGGCTGTGGGGGGAGGGGACATTAGAGGGTAAGCTCCTCTGTACAGAGGTTGATGTGGCTGTGGGGGGAGGGGACATTAGAGGGTAAGCTCCTCTGTACAGAGGTTGATGTGGCTGTGGGGGGAGGGGACATTAGAGGGTAAGCTCCTCTGTACAGAGGTTGATGTGGCTGTGGGGGGAGGGGACATTAGAGGGTAAGCTCCTCTGTACAGAGGTTGATGTGGCTGTGGGGGGAGGGGACATTAGAGGGTAAGCTCCTCTGTACAGAGGTTGATGTGGCTGTGGGGGGAGGGGACATTAGAGGGTAAGCTCCTCTGTACAGAGGTTGATGTGGCTGTGGGGGGAGGGGACATTAGAGGGTAAGCTCCTCTGTACAGAGGTTGATGTGGCTGTGGGGGGAGGGGACATTAGAGGGTAAGCTCCTCTGTACAGAGGTTGATGTGGCTGTGGGGGGAGGGGACATTAGAGGGTAAGCTCCTCTGTACAGAGGTTGATGTGGCTGTGGGGGGAGGGGACATTAGAGGGTAAGCTCCTCTGTACAGAGGTTGATGTGGCTGTGGGGGGAGGGGACATTAGAGGGTAAGCTCCTCTGTACAGAGGTTGATGTGGCTGTGGGGGGAGGGGACATTAGAGGGTAAGCTCCTCTGTACAGAGGTTGATGTGGCTGTGGGGGGAGGGGACATTAGAGGGTAAGCTCCTCTGTACAGAGGTTGATGTGGCTGTGGGGGGAGGGGACATTAGAGGGTAAGCTCCTCTGTACAGAGGTTGATGTGGCTGTGGGGGGAGGGGACATTAGAGGGTAAGCTCCTCTGTACAGAGGTTGATGTGGCTGTGGGGGGAGGGGACATTAGAGGGTAAGCTCCTCTGTACAGAGGTTGATGTGGCTGTGGGGGGAGGGGACATTAGAGGGTAAGCTCCTCTGTACAGAGGTTGATGTGGCTGTGGGGGGAGGGGACATTAGAGGGTAAGCTCCTCTGTACAGAGGTTGATGTGGCTGTGGGGGGAGGGGACATTAGAGGGTAAGCTCCTCTGTACAGAGGTTGATGTGGCTGTGGGGGGAGGGGACATTAGAGGGTAAGCTCCTCTGTACAGAGGTTGATGTGGCTGTGGGGGGAGGGGACATTAGAGGGTAAGCTCCTCTGTACAGAGGTTGATGTGGCTGTGGGGGGAGGGGACATTAGAGGGTAAGCTCCTCTGTACAGAGGTTGATGTGGCTGTGGGGGGAGGGGACATTAGAGGGTAAGCTCCTCTGTACAGAGGTTGATGTGGCTGTGGGGGGAGGGGACATTAGAGGGTAAGCTCCTCTGTACAGAGGTTGATGTGGCTGTGGGGGGAGGGGACATTAGAGGGTAAGCTCCTCTGTACAGAGGTTGATGTGGCTGTGGGGGGAGGGGACATTAGAGGGTAAGCTCCTCTGTACAGAGGTTGATGTGGCTGTGGGGGGAGGGGACATTAGAGGGTAAGCTCCTCTGTACAGAGGTTGATGTGGCTGTGGGGGGAGGGGACATTAGAGGGTAAGCTCCTCTGTACAGAGGTTGATGTGGCTGTGGGGGGAGGGGACATTAGAGGGTAAGCTCCTCTGTACAGAGGTTGATGTGGCTGTGGGGGGAGGGGACATTAGAGGGTAAGCTCCTCTGTACAGAGGTTGATGTGGCTGTGGGGGGAGGGGACATTAGAGGGTAAGCTCCTCTGTACAGAGGTTGATGTGGCTGTGGGGGGAGGGGACATTAGAGGGTAAGCTCCTCTGTACAGAGACTGATGTGACTGTGGGGGAGGGGACATTAGAGTGTAAGCTGATCTGACTAAAACCTGACCGTTGCAAGCCCCTCCCCCTGGCAGTGTCATGTGGTCTGTGCCGGCCCCTGCAACTGTCACATGACCAATGATACCGGAGGACCCGGAAAACCAAAAACTGCGCCCGACAATCATTTTTATTTTCCTCCTGCGTCACACCGTCCCCTGCGGGCACAGCGCACATCCGGCGGGTGATATTCGCCGTTTTTCATGTTTTTGGAAATAATAAAATGAAAAAAAATTGTTATAAAGAAAATGAATTGACAGAACGGGATGTGCGCACTTACCGCGTGTCTTACGGAATAATTCATGATGATGTAATCGCTCCCCATGGGCAGCCAGGAGCGCAGAGTGATGACATCACGGTTCTTCAGCGGCTTGGGACATTTCCCTAAGGAAGGGAGGCGGAGTCACATTATGAAAATGTTGATGGTGGGGAGGAGTCATGGAGAGGAAAGATAATTTTAATTGGGAGGGGAAGGAGTCAGGGAAGAGGAAATATCAGTTTCATGGGGAGGGGGGAGGAGTCAGGCAAGAGGAAATATCAGTTTCATGGGGAAGGGGAGGAGTCAGGGAGGGGGAGGAGTCAGGGAAGAGGAAAGATCAGTTCATTGGGAGGGGGAGGAGTCAGGGAAGAGGAAATATCTGTTTCTTTGGGAGGGGGAGGAGTCAGGGAAGAGGAGAGATCAGTTTCATGGGGAGGGGGGGTAGTCAGGGAAGAGGAGAGATCAGTTTCATGGAAGTGGAGGCAGGGAATATATCAGTTTCATGGGGAGGGGGAGGAGTCAGGAAGAGGCTACACTCACAGGCGTAGTATCCGATGTCGGCGTTGACGGTCAGCTTGCCGATGTCGAAGGTCTCGATGACGTTGGTGTCCCACTTCTTGCGATATTCAATGTCATGGAGGACGTCATAGAGGATCTCCGCCGACACGTCCTTACACTCCATGCGGCACTGCGGAGATCAGAGGGGGGAGGGGGGGGGTCACATGGTACGCAGGAAGACTTCACATTCTTACATTGTATCACCTGTGCGATGATATTATTATACAATATAATGACGTTGTCACACCTTTTGTTCCATCTGTGCTGCTGATACCCTGCAGCCTCTTTGCTACCACTTCCTGTCTACATGTGCCCCAGCAATGGCTGCACGGCATATCTTAAGGGACAACTAAAGCATTTTTTGGGGGGGGGGGAGGGGATTAGAACCCCTGCCAGGCTTTCATTGCTGTCTGTATTAGGTAGATTTGCCCCGTCTGGTGACCGTTATCACTGAAAGCGAGGAAAATCCTCCGTCCCCTTGTAGTCTCCATCAGAAGGCTGTGACAGGGTGACAACACAGGAGAATGATTGAGAGATAGGAATAGAGCGTTGTCACCCTATAACAGGAAGTATCTGAGCAAAGATAGAGCTAGGGTTGCCACCTTTTCTTCAAGCGAAACCCGAACACTCTAGCTACGCGCGGACATTTTTTCGGGAAGTTTTCGGGTTGTAAATATCACAGTTTAGACTATTTTCAGTGGGGGGCCAGTAGCCCCTATCTTAATTTGGTTGCCCCCTGTCTGCCTGACATCTTGTGTCCAGGTTTCTGCTGCCATGAAACCCGGACACAGCTTTCAAAACCCGGACTGTCCAGGTGAGTCTCCTCTCCTCTTCTCTCCCTTTTTTCTTGTTTCCATTTCCTCCTCCTCCCCCTCTCCTCTCCCTCTCGCCTCCTCCCCCTCCCCCCTCTCCTCCTCTCTCTCTCCCCCTCCTCCCTCTCCCTCTTTCCTGGACCCTGGGGGGGGCAGGGGGGCAACCCTAGATAGAGCGTTGTCACCCTATAACAGGAAGTGCCTGAACAAGGACAGAGCGTTGTCACCCTATAACATTTCATGATGGGATCACCTGGGATTATTTTACCCACAAGAAAGATTTGGGGCGCATGTCCTACGCCCGGCACTGAGGGGCGGCAGCTTGTTTTCTTTGTGTTCTGCCAGCTCCAGGCACATTGGGGGTCTATTAGTCCCCTGATGTCTCCATAAAGAGAACCTGTCACCTGCCCTGTGCCATCCCAGAGGGGGCGTGTTCTCCCCGTAGTGTCTGTATCACGTCTCTGTGCATCTCATAGGAGATCCGGCGCATGTAGACGGAAGGATTACACCGACATAACCGGATCATCGCCCCCGGCACCGCCGTGATAGGGATCCGTAATCCCAGATTATCCGTCTTCATTCACATTGTACAAAAGAAATCACTTCTGGTCTCCGAGGAAGAGAAATCTTTACAGACACAGATGCCGGAAAGATCCGCTTACATCAGTCTCTGTACAGAGGAGCTTACACTCTAATGTGCCCCCCCCCCCCACAGTCACATCAGTCTCTGTACAGAGGAGCTTACACTCTAATGTCCCCTCCCCCACAGTCACATCAGTCTCTGTACAGAGGAGCTTACACTCTAATG